CCCGCATTTGTCGTCTGCACTCGTATCGTCTATCGTCTGGGGTTGCGTGATTATATTGGCCTAAACAGGCGATGACTATGGCCATGGCTGAGGCGAGAGGAGATGGCAAGTCGCGTTCAGCGACTTTAAGGACATTGCCATTGCGTGTTTCTTGCTCCCTGGCCCTTCCCCTTCTCCTTCACCTTCCCTCACCCTCCTGCTATCTCTCTCCTCCTCCTCCCTTGGAGTATATATTTCCCAGTGACTTAAGTAGTTTCGCCGCGTATAATAAATTTTCTAGTTTAAACTCATTTATTGCCCATGCGACTAAGGATGAAAGAATGAATTGCTGTCGGTGAAGGGATAAGAGCTTGGGGTGTGGAGTCTACTCCTCCCATACGATACCCTCTGTAATGGCCATTTGTTGTATAATTTTCACATTGTTCAGTGTCGAGTGTGCTCCGAAAAGAACTTCCACCGCGGCCTCGAGAGGGTCTCTTATTTATGATATACTTGGAAGAGGTTTCCCCAGTATCGGCAGCACAAAAGTGATTTAACCGGAGGGGATGTGGCTGGGGGCGTGTGTTAATTACGTTTGAAAATTATAGGCCATGGGGAAAATGGCTTAATATGTGGCAGCGGCAGCAATTTAATTGGAAATTGCGTGTACGCACAGGCAGAGGCTTAAAGGATTCTCTGATTACATTGAGGTCCGCCTCATCACTGATCGAAATCAATCGCTGGGGCCAGGCAACTTTGCCTTCCAACTAATTGAAGGGCAGTTGTGTCTGCTGCACATCTAATCAAATAATCAGAGCAGGGCCTTGGCTTACGAGTATTCCCCTGCTAATTGCATCATTATTCACACAGCTTAAGAGGCAGGCGAAAAGCTTTCTGCTTGATGTTCTTTAAGGCCAAGGATCACAGCAACTGAATGAACGCCACAGGGCAACGAAAAAGTCCCAGATGTGGGCAGAAAAGAAGACCAAGACAGAGCCTCAAAGAGCAGATATAAATAGCCCTAAAAAGATGGCAGACAGTGCCTCAAAAAGCAGCCCAAAAAGGTAGCTGGACATTGGACATGGCAGCTGGGTCGCAAAAAGGTGCAAAAGACACATTATCCGGGCTCGAAGACATGGCCAAATATATATTGTGGATGGAGTTCTTCTTCGATTAAAGTAAGGTTTCCCATCTCACTCTTGGATCTCCTATGTTTGTCCCTCTCTCTCTCTTTGTGGCAAACACACGCCCTACAGCTTAATTTCCTGAAGCAAATATCAACATGGAACGGCGGGGATTGGGGGAGAGATGCCGCCCCGAAAGCGCTCTAATGAAATTACAACACACTATGGGAGCTCCCTGGGAGCATACTCCGGGTGTTGTTTACGCCGGAAAGGTGCGGGAGGAGAGAGGCGTGGAGAGACACGAGACGCCGTGTAAGCCAAAGTGGCAGTGGGGAAGTCAACTAAAACTAAGCTCATTTAATGCGTTGCATAAGCGACAAGCGGAGTAGCACCTTCCACTCCACACGCGACCTATCCCACACCCCCATGACGACACGGGGAATCCTAGAAACAAAAACACACACAGGGACAAACAAACAAACAGGCAGATAGCCAGACAGACAGACAGACAGACAGACAGTCAGACGGGGAGAAAGCAGCGTGCAACTACAAGCAGGAAACATCCAACAACTACAAACGGGAAATAGAAAGAAAAATTATAGTTTGCTGTGAGTGAAACTGCAGATACCCTGAAATAGGTCTCTGGACTTTGACTATGACTGATATGTGAAGCAATTGGCAATGTTTGGCCTCTACTATGAGAGTTCAAAACATCCTTTTGTATGATACCAGCTCTCCATGGTTATATTATGTTCATAACTGTTCACAAATCAGAATAAACTCATGGCAAACACCAATCTCCAACCCCAACTTCATAAAAAGTGTGTGTCGGCCAACAGCCAAAGAGAGAGTAGAGTGGAGACTGCGTGGAAGGAGCAACAAGCTCGCTGGCTAACGCCAGGCATTTTACACTTTTACGTTTTACGTTTATCCCGAGGATAATTTAACACCCCATACAAATGCAAACAAATGAGCGGCAGACACTCAGCGGCACACTGAATCGCATAAGTGTGTGTACGGCTCAGCGTACGATTGTACGACGTGTGAGAAAAGAAAAAAAAAAGCAACAGCAAAAACAACAACTGCACACAGCCCCAACATTTATTTACTTGCAAGTAATACCCGGTAATGGGTTTTTAAAACAAATCCTCTGCGGGCCTGTAAATGAACTTCAACCCACGTCTCCCGCTGTTGCCGCTCTGCCTCAGCCCTTTCTCCCTCTGGCTCTTTCGCTGGCAATTAAATTTCAAATAACAGCACCCACACACACACACACACACACACATGCATACCACATACAAATATGCATGGTGGGGCAGGGAAAGTGTCATTATATAGTTAATTAAACAAACATTTTGTGCAGATAAAATGCTTTAATTAATGCTCTTAGTGGAGGACTTTCACTTTAAAGCCATTTCACCGCATACCGCAACGTACCTCCCTCTCTGTCTCTCTCTCTCTCTCTCTCTTTTCCATTACACATTTTCCCCGCCCCTATCTTTTCCTTCTTGAACACCTGAAAAGTATGCAATGAAAATTCTTCACGCTACTCTGCGAATCATTTGCATGAAGCGGTCGAGGGTATGCTGCACTTGGCTGTGTTCTTTCCTTGCGCTGTAGATAGATCAAAAAGAATTAATAGTAATACGCTTTCAGAGGCAGAAAACTGCATCTAAAATTGTTAGCTGAAAGCTATTCAGAGCTGTGGAATCCCACATGAAGGGCACTAACCTCATCTTTTCACTCAATCTTCCCTCAATTTTCTTAGTCCCTCATTAGAGTTTCCTTTCCTACAACTGCCCCTAAAAACAACCCTCTCCCTAGGGTAACTCCCTTGTCGACTCTCTCTCTCTCTCTCTCCGTTCCAAGCATTTACTTTGCCTGTTCTTTTATAGAATTTCCCCATTTTCTTGTTTTTTATACATTGTCCAGAAAGCTGTCGTTGAGCGTGCGATTTTTCAATATCCTGGTGTGTGCGCGCAACATAAATGACCATTTTTGACGGGGCTTTCGGCCAGAGTTCGACCCGTAACCCCTCGTAACACCCCCGTTGCCGTGGGGTGAAACATGGTCTCGTGTTGACGCGCCATAAAATATGCAATGCATGCAGTATGTCAGCGTTTTACCCCACTCCCCAGCAGCCTCACCTACTGCCAGTCAGCTCTCATAACTCAGAAAAAGACTCGATGGGGATGGGAGGGAGGGCATTGGTGGAAGGCCAAAAGTCATTTCGTTTTTTGTCAGGCCCATCGCACAAAACTATCAATAATACGCCGCACCCTCAGCCCACCCACACGCCACATGCCAGGGCAAGTGGCACGCGGCGGCTACAGATGGGTTCAGATGGAGCACCACATTCAGGCACATATAAACTGTTTTGCTTTATGACTTTTATATGCAGCGGCAGTTGCAGTTGCAGTTGCAGTTGCAGCTGTGGATGGAGGCAGGATTCTGTGGGGGCGCCTGCAAATATTTTTAATATGCTTCGTCGATGGCTTCGGCATCGGCATCGGCATCGGCATTGGCAGCAACAAAAAATGTTTACAACGGCAGCAGCCACGTTACGTATACGTAACCTTTCCGCTATTTATTTTTTAGCATTCCGTTTCGGTTGGGGTTTTACGGCACACTGCTGAAACGCCGCTTGGCATATTGAATAAGGTTTTTGTAGTTGTTGCTGGGGGCAATGCTGATCGCTGAATTTTGGCATCGGTTTTGGGTTTCTGGGTTTTGGTTTTCGTTTCTGTTTTTGTTTAGCTTTAAAGTCCGCTAAATGGCGGGTATACAGGATGCATGATGCAGGATGCAGGCAGGAAAAACCAAAGCCAAAACCGACATTTGGCATACATCCACCCATACATACGTGTCTGTTTTTGTATGGGTCTACACGTGCTTGTGTGTGCCTGTGTGCAATGTATCCACAGACACAGACACAGACACAGGCCGGGGCATGGGGTAGACAACATGAAATTCAATCAATTGGAAATTCCATATCAGTGGAAATATTTTAATATTTATGCAAAATATTTACGCACGAACCAAAGCATTCAGGCCAGCCGATGCGGCAGCAGCCAGGCATTGGGGGACCACATTTAGGGGGCAGTAGCCGGAGTACTCGCATGAGGAAAACAGAAATAATAGTAATAATAATATTGAAATTGATTTTATTTATAAGGCCATTGAATATTTATGCAGAATGCTCTCAATGTAATTATTGCCGAGGTTTTTGCGCTGAGGGGCCACTTCTTTTGCTCTCACTCTCTGTGTGCAGTATGTAAATTGCAAGTGAATATGCCACAAAGCGTGGCACATAGAGTGTGTATTGACTGCGCTGACTGAAATATGAATATTAATGAATGATGTTTTGGGGCGGGGGGCTTCGCATCGCTGTTTAGTATGGCAGCTGTTAAAGTCAGGCACTCGGATCTATATTGCTTGAATGAGCGTATCGGCTGGGGCTCTCATTCATTCATTGTCTCTGCGTTTGTGACAGAACAATCTATTCTTAGAGGAGTGCAAAAAACAAACACTGGGAAATCCCTACTGCCATGTGCGTGTGTGTCACGGCAAACAGCTTCTGACAGCCGCATGTCAAGTGCAGCTTCGTGCAATGCACCCCAAAGGAGTAAGAGCGGGATAGATGGATGCACACCCTCAATGAATGTCACACGTTTGACAGCTTCATTCTCTTGACATCCCTATCTAACCCGCACTTGCTTCCTCTCTCTCTGTTTCTCTCTCTGTTAACAGTTATTGAGCGTTGATGTGTCACCAGTGTGGAATAAATATTTGCGGTTAAGACTAGCAAGTTGGGGAATTAGAATTAAAACTGTGAATCTTCTATGGATATGGATATGATATAACTAAATTCCCTTTTTACCCTCTCCGCTTTTGCAGATACAAAATCGAAGTGGCTGGCAAGAGTCTCCCGGTGCTCACAAATCTCGACAAGGGACGCTATGGCGTGATTGTGTTTGAGAATCTGGACAAGTACCTCAACATGGACAAGTGGAATCGGGAGCTGCTCGACAAGTACTGTCGCGAGTATGCCGTTGGCATTGTGGGCTTTCTGAGTCCCAGCGAAGAGACTTTGGTGGGGGCACAGCTGCGGGACTTTCCACTGTTTGTCAACACGAACCTGCGGCTTCGTGATGCAAGCTTGAATCCCGGATCCTCTGTGCTCCGGCTGACGCGTGCGGGGGAGACCGCATGGGGAGCACTGCCCGGCGATGATTGGGCGGTGTTTCAGCATAATCACAGTACCTACGAGCCCGTGGAGTGGGCACAGCGGAATACGAACGAGTATCCGGCGGATAGTGTGGGGCAGGTGCAGCTGCCACTGACGACAGTGCTGCAGGATCGCGGGCACTTGGACGGCATCCAGCGGGTGCTCTTTGGTAGCAGCCTGCGCTTTTGGCTGCACCGCTTGGTGTTCCTCGACGCGCTCAGCTACTTGAGTCACGGACAGCTGAGCCTCAACCTGGAGCGAATGATTCTCGTGGACATTGACGACATCTTTGTGGGCGAGAAGGGCACGCGCCTGCGGCCCGACGATGTGCGTGCTCTGGTGGCCACGCAAAAGAACATTGCAGCCATGGTGCCGGGATTCAAGTTCAATCTTGGGTTCTCGGGGAAGTACTACCACCATGGGACGCGGGAGGAGAATCTCGGCGATGATTTCCTGCTGCAGAATGTCCAGGAATTCAATTGGTTCTCGCACATGTGGAAGCACCAGCAGCCGCATCTCTACGACAATCTCACGCTCCTCATGGCCGAGATGCACCTGAACTACGCCTTTGCCATGGACCACAATATACCCACCGATTCGGGATACTCCATCTCGCCGCATCACTCTGGCGTCTATCCCGCCCACGAGCTGCTCTACGTGGCCTGGAAGAAGGTGTGGAACGTGAAGGTCACCTCCACCGAGGAGTATCCGCACCTGCGGCCAGCGAGACTGCGCCGTGGGTTCATCCACAGGAACATAATGGTGCTGCCGCGGCAGACTTGTGGCCTGTTCACCCACACGATGTACATCGATCGGTATCCCGGTGGCAGGGACAAGCTGGACGAGTCGATACAGGGCGGCGAGCTCTTCCAGACGATCGTCTACAATCCGATCAACATCTTCATGACGCACATGTCGAACTATGGCTCGGATCGGCTCGCTCTCTACACATTCCAGTCGGTGATCAAGTTCCTGCAGTGCTGGACGAACCTGAAGCTGGCCTCGGCGCCGCCCATTCAGCTGGCGGAGATGTACTTCCAGCTGCACCCCGAGGAGGTGGATCCCGTGTGGGGCAATCCCTGCGACGATGCGCGACACAAGAAGATCTGGTCCAAGACCAAGAACTGTGACTCGCTGCCCAAGTTCCTGGTCATTGGACCCCAGAAGACGGGCACCACCGCCCTCTACACATTCCTCTCGATGCACGGCAGCATCGCGAGCAACATTGCCTCCCCCGACACCTTCGAGGAGGTGCAGTTCTTCAATGGCAACAACTACTATCGCGGCCTGGACTGGTACATGGACTTCTTTCCCTCGGGCGAGACAGTGGCCATGCCCAACAACAGCTCCCCGATGCCCACGCAGCTGGGCAGCCCGCGCTACATGTTCGAGAAGAGTGCCACGTACTTTGACGGCGAGGCAGTGCCCAAGCGGACGCATGCCCTGCTGCCACATGCCAAGATTGTGACGATCCTGATATCGCCAGCGAAGAGGGCGTACTCCTGGTACCAGCACCAGCGGGCACATGGCGATGTGATAGCCAATAATTATAGTTTCTATCAGGTAAGAAGTGATTCAAAATCGATCAAAAACGGATCAAAAACTACGGTATAATTCCCAAAAGCAAACACACACAAAAATGCATTCCAGGTTTACCGCAAAAAACAAATGGAGAGAAACCAAAATAACGCAAAGAAAATGAATGAAATTTTCGGTTTAATTTGAGTTTTGTTGGCAAACAACATGCCACACATGCGGCATGCAGCAGCTGCTGTTGCAAGTTGGAGCACATTTCATTTGAATTCCAATTGTGGATTGCATTTCTATTTGCACCCACACACTGACACACGAGGCCACGAGACACATGCCACAGATTGCTTCGACAGCTTCGACAGCAGCCGCAGACATGTGTTCTCCTTACTAATGCTGATCCTTCTTTCTCCCGATAGGTCATAACGGCAAGTGACTCGGCACCGAGAGCCCTCAAGGATCTGAGGAATCGTTGCCTCAATCCGGGGAAATACGCCCAGCACTTGGAGCACTGGCTGGCCTTCTACCCCGCCCAGCAGGTGCACATCATAGATGGGGACCAGCTCCGCCTGAATCCCATCGATGTGATGAACGAGCTGCAGCGCTTCCTCAAAGTCCAGCCGCTGCTCGATTATTCAAATCATCTGCGCTACGACGTGAAGAAGGGCTTCTATTGCCAGGCGCTCAACGAGAAGCGCAATAAATGCCTCGGCAAATCGAAGGGACGCCAGTATCCGACGATGGATGAGCGCAGCGGCAAGCTGTTGCAGCGGTGAGTAAAATCGAACAAATTCCCCATTCGACAGCTGGAGGAGGCGGAGGAGGAGAAGGAGGAGCAGAGAAAACGACACACACAAAAAAGGCAGTAACAAAAGGGGGTGGGATGGGATGGGATGGACCCTTTGCTTTTCCGTTTCCAGTTGCCAGTCGTCGGATGTTTTTTTTCCTGTTTGCTCCGTAGGTGTGAGGAGTGTGATTTGGGGCAGACACGAGGAGATGGAGGAGTGTTTTGAGGGGGAGAAGGATGCTGCGTTGCTGCTGCTGCTTTGAGTGAAGGATTAATGAACATATATGGGTGGCTCCTGGCTCGAGCTCTCTCTCTCTCTCTCTCTCTCCTGGTTGCCTTTTTTCTGCTTTTGGAGGCGGGGGAATGGGATGTGAAATGTGGCACTTTGTGGCCGCTAAAAGTGCACTTTGCTGTACTGCGATTTCGGTGTGCCAGCTGTCAGCTGACAAGGGAAACGATTTGCTGGAGGACACACGGAGGACACTTCTGGGGCGACAACATGCGAGACATGCGGACGAGGTGGACAGATGAACTACTTTGTGAGGCATTCAGCGGCACTAAATGGGGAAAATATATTACAGCAGTAGGTGGAGGTGACAGATGGTCGAAGGAGAATAATAGTGAAGGATTTTATGGGAAACTAGTAATAGTAGTGACAGAAGCCCTAGCAATATGGCTGGCTTCGAGTGTACATCTATGAATAGAAAACAGTTTATGAAAGATTTAAGCTCCATCCTTTGACTCTTCTCTTCCCAGCGAGAAACCGCGAAATTTGAAATTCTAATTCCTGTTGAAAGCTTCTTCACTTGTCTGGAAAAAACGCCACTCATACAGCCAATGGTTTTCCTCTGTTCCCCCCTGTAGATACTATCTGAATCACAATACGGCGCTGGTGAAGCTGCTGAAGAAGCTCGGCTCTCGGCCCATTCCTCAGTGGCTCAAGGAGGACCTGTCGACGGGCACGTGATAGCAGCTGTTTGGCGGAGGAGGAGGAGGAGCAGGAGGATACGGTGGCAGCGGCGCAGGAGGCATAAAGTATCGCAAAATGCGGGCAAAACTCAGGAAACAGTTGCATTGGTTGCACCTGGCAGTGGCGGCGGAGGCGGAGGCAGTGGCGGCGCCAAAGGAGAGCACCAGCCACGAGGACAGCGCCGCCAGTTGGCAGCAGCGACGTCGACGCCACAACTGATGGCAGACGCAAAAAGAAAAACAAAAATGGGAAAGCGAAGGGGAAGGGGAAGGGGAAAGGGAAAGCCACCATAAAATATAAGATGAAAAAAGTTACATAATTAGTTAGTCGGCGCTTTTAAAATGCATAAATCTTTTTGTTTGTTGCTATTGCAGCTAATTAATGTCACTGCTGCAGTTGTCAGTGGAAAGTTTGTACGATATGTACACACACAAACATAGGTATATAAATACAGTTATTTAGCGTGAATGTGTGCGGGTGTGAGTGTGCAAATCTGTGTGTAAATATGACCCGAGTGCGTGCATTATAAATTATCATAAAGAACGTTCGTGGCATCATGAATACAAATAATGCATAAATGCGCTTTGTTAGTTGTTTAATGTTTAATGTAAATCATTATTCTTAATATTATTATTAGTTGCTAATAGCAACTAATTAAGTTTTATAGTCGTGTATGTGTGTATATCGTGTATATTTTATGATTTCTGTAATTTGTTGTTACCTCAGAGACTCCACACACACACACACACACACATGCAGACAGACAGCTTGAATGCATCCTAAAGACTCAAATCAAAAGCACCTTTTACTTCAATACGCTATCCATGGACACTCTCTACTCTCTATTCGACTCTACACTTAGCTGTAACTGTAAAAGCCATGCCAAAACTGTGACGGGATCCTTTGCCCCAAAGGGAGCCAACGAGTGCTACAAACACCCTACCAACCACATACTTATCTACATTTAGGATCTAGTAGTTGTTAGAGATAAGGATAAGGCTGCTCTAACCCATAAGTGTAGTTGTAAAATGTTTTAAGCCTAAGCTACTCACTCACTCCATGCAAAGCAACGCCATGCATGCCACGCTTGCACCATGCAGCAGCAGCATGAAATGTGCGAGTAAAACTGTAAAGCTCTAGTTGGATAAGCAAGCTCCATAAGTACCCTAAGCACTAAGCAAAGCTCTATTGTATAGTTGGATATATGCTTATCTAGTGTACATGAGAACTAGTTCAAGTTTAGATTGGTAATGCGACAATAATAAAACGCCGAACATTATTGCAAGTGTAAAATGGAAAACCACGAGAGAGTTCTCCAGTTTTTTTGTTGTCATCTTGTCAAGTGGCGCCTCTATGGGCAGCGGGAAAAACCTTGCTTAATTTTACTTTACATTTCAACTCTACATTTTGTTTGGCGCCATCACTAAGGGATCAAGTCAACTGCTTCTGGCGACATCTTGCAGTGGTCGCACTTTATAAAGCCATCTGTCGCTGGCTATAGTGTGGCCAATTAAGGTAGCATGTAATTTTTAGATTGCTTTTAAAACTTAAAATTTCCACTCGACGCCACCTAGAGTTTAGTTTTTCTGTTAATCACAAATTATTACATGCATACATGCTATAAATGTATGACCTATCTGTCCAGCTACATCGTGATTTTTGTTGCAATAATGTAGGGACTTCCCGTCCCACTTTTCTATGCTTTTGTAAGTAATCCAATAAAAAGCATTGCTGAAAACTAGCTAATTATGCACACTATTGACAGAGGAATCGGATAAAATTAGAGCTGCACTGCAGAATTTCGTAACCTGTTAGAAATTGTAAAAAGAATATCAAAATCGAGACAATGTGATTTTCATCGGAATATTTATAGTCTATTTAGAAAATGAGAAGCTATATTTCGGTATATTCTTGAGAGACCGTCGGTATATTTGCACGATAGCTCTGCGGTCACACTGCTCGTTCGCTCTTTTCTTACACGCTCTCCCGCAACGCAAAAATGAGTCTTTCTCTCCATTTGGTGAAAATTGCCCATTCACAATATTGACCTACGAAAATTGCCAATTCACAATGGAAGCTTTTGTTATTGTTTTTAATCTTTGCTACGACTAAACCACCGTTAGAAAGCTTTCATCCGCCGTGGACAACGCAACTCAGTCGCACTTACTAGCGTTAGTAAAAGTTCCGCGCGCGACTTTAGAGTTAAGTGTTGACGTCTGGTTTTTCTCCAAAAGCACATGCAATTATCTATTTGAAATCGAGTGAATAATAGATATAGCACGTGCAAACAGGTACTTGATAATTAGCGACAACTTCGAGTCGAGAAAACGTCGTCGCGTGTGCAAAAAGAGTGTGCCGGTGTCCGGGTCGTGGGCGAAGAGAGTGCCAAAGAGAAGAGAAAAGCCGAAAAGCCGCTTTGTTAATAATTAAGTGCAATAAGTTATAGCCGGTGCTATATACATAATTCGAGTGATAATCGTTGTGTGGTTGTTGTTTTGTGCGTTCTGAATATGTTCAGTGTTTAAAATAAAAGTGAAACAAGACCGGGAAGAGTCGCTGCCCTTTCGTTTGCCCACAGCCCAAACCGGTAATTCTCTCCTCCATTGTCATTCCACCTTTTTGGCGCTCGCTTTCGATGTTGTTGTTGCTGCTGCTTGTTGCATTGCTGTGCAGCCATTGACATTGAAATATATTACATTTGCTTCAGTGCTCAAACTAAATGTAGAGTAAAATAATTTTGTTATTATCGAGTTTAATGATTAAATTTTACGTGAAAATAAGATCGTTTTTTTGGTTTAATTCCTTGTACCAACAACATCGGAGTTTTGTGTCGAGTTCGTGGAATAACAGTTACTCTTACTCATTTCCCCTTTAACCCACTCGCAGTGTTTTTGTGATTCACTAAACTCCCCCTTCTCCCCAACAAACCTATTGCTGTGTCAAGCTGTCCATCCACCCACCACCACCCCCTCAGAGTGCGCTTGTTTTTGTAGTGTAGTGTAGTGTAATCGGACGGAAGGAAGCATGTCCAGAAACGGCGCTGCCGTGGTGAGTGCCTTCCGCCTCCTCCTGCGTCCCTCGGGTGTCAGTCGGCATCGAGGCCTGCGTTTGGCCCCTGTGACGGCCTTTGCTCTGGTAAGTGTAAAACAAAAACTGAACAAAAATTCGAAAAATATACAAACAAAAGCATACCCTACGCTCCGGGGAAGCAGCTGTTGCAAGCCTCATTGGCGGGTGTATTGGAATTTATAAAAATATACTCACTCTACATACAAACAGATGTAGATGCTCCCCTCGTGCGTTCGTTGGATATGCTGTGGCTGTGTGTGTGTCTGCGCTGTGGCACATGTTTTATTTGAAATTATTAAAATGTATGCAAAGAACCAGTCTGAAACAAACAGCCGAGCATACATAAGTAGATATGTACATATGTATGAATATGTACAGGCACATTGTAGTTGCTTTATTTCTTTCTTTCGGTCTCTCTGTCTGTTTGTCGTTCTTCTTTGAACATGTGCGGCCGGAGCGCTGTGCTCTTCGCAATCTGCTTGCACTCGCTCTCTTCTTGTCTGAGCCAAACTTCAGTTCAACTTTAACTCTCTCTCTCTCTGACTTCGCTTTGGCGCTCTCTTCGAGTGAGAGTGCATGAGTTACTATGTAGTTATGTTGTTTTATGGCACCTGCGCGTCGGCACCTCTCCTCCCCCGCGCCGTAGACTTTGGGCAAAGGTGAAGAAAAAGAAACAAAATAAAACAGCTGTCAAAAATGTTTATCAGGGAATTAAGGAGAATGACAGTGATGGAATGGGTGTTGTGGGGGTGAGAGAGTTAATAGATGAGTGATTACGGTTTTTCACGACCGCGAGAGAACAATTTTCTCTCACAGCAGGTCAGGCTTAAAATTGAGTTGAATTGTTGAATTTCACGCGTCGAAATGAATGAATCATTCAATAATGATGCTGGGAGTGTGATGACTCTAGTATAACTGTGGTAATTAAAGCTTATCAGCTCTAATATTTCTGATTGTACGCGAATGAATCAGCGAAAGAAACGTATCTGGGAGAATCAAAAGGCAAAGCAAGAATTCAAATGTTTTTTCTCTCAGATTTCGTTTTACATGACAAAGTCGAATTGCATACAAAATGATTAAGTTCTCCGTTTAAAGCGTTGGAGAGAGAGAGAGAGAGAGAGAGGAGAGGGGAGAAGCCGGCGTGAGCGTTTTTTGTTGCTCTGACTATTATGACAGAGAGCGTAGGAGAGCACCGGCAAACAGAAGAAAGTGTGACAGGGAGGGAGTGAAAAGATAGCGGCGCCTTCTCCTCCCTCCACCGCTACGCTGCTCGTGTCATTTTGGGGAGAAATTGTAGAGGGATTATTTACCTTTTATTTTACTTACATACATATGTATGTATGTACATAGTATGTATGTGTGTGTCAATTTGCATTTGCTTTTTGCTCTCTTTTCAACTGATTAAAGTCAACAAAAGCAGCATTGATTGTGAAGAACACACAAAAAGCACTTATAGTCTCATTTGAGCCAAAAGTTTACTCAACTTTTTGACACGTTTTTGGCCCTTGGACCTCAACGGTCTCCCAACCACACAGCTTTGTCGCCACTTCCTCTGAGGGGGACATTCAGATAAAACATGCGATCTACATATGTTATTTATTCGCCTTTAGAAGAAACTTTGTAAAATTGAATTCTTGATATAAAGTTTCATAAATTTCATTCTTTAACTCCAATTTCTAAAGTTATCTGGTTGGAGGAAGATGGCTTCATCTTTTCCAGAAAAAAGTCACGGGGATGCCAACGAATTTCCCTCCTTTCTCTTCGGCACAAAAACACTTTTATTGGCGCCACTCGGTCTGCCACACAATACTCATACACGGCGGGAAGTGTTTGTTTGTGTGTGTGTAACATCTCACTCACTGTTGTACCCCTCTCTCTATGCTCCTCTCATGGGTATCCTTTCCCCGCTCTCTGTCCTCCCATTTCGACAGACACTTCCCTTTCCAATGCGGATTTGGCTTGCGCTCGGATTTTGGATTTTTGCTATATTTGTCTGGGTTTTTGTAGGGCGCTGGGGCGTGGCTGTGGCTACATGTGTATGTGATCATCCCCCCGCTATAACTTTCTCTCTCTGTTTCTGTTAACAATTATTTTTGGCCCCGGGAACAAAGGATGGCGTAGCAATCAATTGATATTTGATTAAATATTCGAGCACGAGTGCAATGATTCAGGCTTTGGAATCCGGCTTTATTTCTGTGTTTGTTCCATGCCGCATCCATGCAAACGGAACAACTATGCGACATTTATGCAAATGGAAATACATCATACATACACCCGTTTGGATGGAAACACAGCCATTTAATTTACATGCCACACTGCCACTGCCGCTGCAGGTTGGAACTTAATGCGGCGAAAGGTCAGGCTTAAAGCGGCAGATTAAACCTCGAGTGTATGTGTGGTATGATATGTGGGTCACTTTTTCCACGTCGCCACTCATTAAATCAGGCTTAGTATGTGATACTTAATATAAAGTTTTCAGCTGCAGTTCTGCTTCTCTTCCCGGTTTGGCTTCTCCTCTACTCCATTCCTCTAGTTAGGAGTCGTTCTTACTCTCTTTCCCATTTAGTTTCATTCGCACTCGCATGTGCTGAGCTGAAGAGCTTTCTGCTGCTCAAGCGCTCCATTAAAATCAGTTTCTGGCCACTTGTCACCGACTAATTCCCCGAGGAAAAGCCAAAGTTTGTTCAAGAATTAGTTAGATTGTTGTTAAAGGCTTTTCCTATCTTTCGACTTGCGGCCTCGGCCTTGACTTTTGCTAATCTGCGACGACGAATGCTATCAAATATTGTTTGATCAACAAATTTCTGCAACCATTTGGCAGAGTCACCTTAAAGGCCGACCACCCGCAAGGCAGCTAACATACGACTTAACCCCCAGACAAGCACCGAGAAAAGCCGCAGAAAATCTGCATATAATGGGTGGGATTTTAGCGAAAAGCCCACCCACGCCCCCTTGGGTTGGGGGTTTTCCACGTTGGGTGCACGTTTTCGCACATTTATCGGGGACTGCGAAATCTTTTGCGCAGAACCCAAAAGCTGAATTAGCTTTGCCACAAAATATTTGCATATGGGAGAAGCAATCCCTTTCCATTCCATTCCTTTCTTGTCCTTCCTTGCCGTAGACTGCTGCAAGATTATATGCGTAATTAATGCTATCGTATGCAGGATACTATCGTACGATGAGGGGCTAATTGGGCCTGCTGCTGCTTCTGCCAGAAGCTGGAGGCGTTGTGGTGGCAGGGTCGTAAACTAGCGAAGACCTCATTAGGGTCCTTGTCGACGGCAGCGAAGGAGCCTGCTTCATCAGCAGAAAACTTAAGGTTATGCCTGTGGAAATTGCTGGCATAACTCGCGGCTCGTAATAATATTTTAGCTGACAAATAGCTTAAAGGGGGCCATGAAATTCGACAGAGTATCTGTGGGCTATCCGCATGAGTATCTATGTCTATGTTGGCTCTAATTTCATGAGTATCTAGTGGCAATCACAAGTTTGGAAGTACACCCTAGCTGAGGAGAGGCAACGAACAGCCAACACGCTGAAGGACATTACCAAGCAACTATCCATGCAACTATTATCGCTGCTTATCTGGCACTTTCATGTATATTCTGTCAAATATATATACCGTTTAGTGAAGTTGGCCCTCGCGTGTTATAGCCATCACTGCACTTGAGTTTGGCTTAAAGCCCACACTCCTACACAGTCAACCACTCCCACACCCCCACACACTCGTACTCCTATCGCATTTCATCAGCAAGGGGGAGTACTTCCTACTCTTTGCCCCTCCCTTCACTCCCGAATTCATTCTTTATCAAGGTTCTGTTTGCGGCCACAGCACTTAAGCTGCGACTCTCTGATACCCCACGCTTATCAGCAGAACGATTGCTGAATGGATTCTATACATATATATTTCGTTAACCCACTTTCAACTCACCCACTTTTTCGCACTGATAAATGACAAAAGATTCTGCACAAATAAATTGCTTGTTAAATCGCAATTCAATTTACAATTTCTGAAGTGCTGCGATCGTTGGTGAACCCATAAAATACATTCCAACCCCATGCACTTTATTTCAATATTTTTGGGTGAGCAACTGCTAAAAGAGGAGGAATATCCACGGTTGTTTTGCCATATTTATGCACTCTTTATTCACATATTTAAAGGGGGACATAATCACTACGTGCAGACACTGATTTCGAGTCAATATATTGTACTTTATATTGCCATAATGATACCGCAAAGTGGCTGTGGGCAAACGCGAATTTCAAGTGGTTTTTAATTTCGATGGTAAATATTTGGGGTCAGAACTCCGGCAGGGGACAATACTTACAGAGGATAGGATACCAATCTTTGAATAAATTTCGAGGAACAATTTAAGGGCTAAACAAAAGGGCCAGAGAGAGAGGCCTGAGAGCCGTGAACCGCATAAAAGGTTCCATTATTAATTCAGGCCATGTCTAAGGCACTCTCCCAGTGAGCTCCCAGTGTTCCCAGTGGCATCCAAGAGTGTCAGCCGCTGCTGCTCCTCCAGCTCTTTGGGTGAAAATTCTCCTATTATATGCAAATTTGTGGCACCATCCACAAGCGGCAAGCAGCAGGCACAAACTTGTGCCACACAGAAAATGAGCAACATAAATTCTGTTTTTGCTTCTTCCCCAGGAGAGGGTTTGCTTAATATCCACTTAAGCCTGTCAAACAGTTTGCCAGCGCGGATCTCGGGTGCGGATGTTTCTGATGACAAATAAAGTAACTTTAAAATAATTTGCACCATTTTTCCACACATTTAAATGTCGAATAAAAAAATGTACACTGTTTTCCGCAGATTGAAATGGCAAAACTTCTTCCCTGATTGAAATGTTGATGGCTTGAATGACTGACAGTTTTCCTGATTTTTTGTAGAAATATTTTACAAATATTTCACTCCATTTGCATGTCCAGTCCATAAATGCGCTGCCAACATTCCCCATTCAAAATATTTCCTCTTTTTTGCTGTTGTCCTTTTTATACATAAAGTGTCTGAATTATGTGACGCTTTCATGCGGCGAAGCGCAGCTTGTGGCGAACTGCC